ATGTTGCCAGAGTAAAGAAGGACCCTTAAGTTCATTTCGCATGGAGGAGTCTGCGACTTCAAGAATTCGACATCACCACCTGTTAAAAGTCCAGATGAAGGCACTCTGGCACAGACTGCCTCTGCCATGCCCGGTCACAGACCACCGCAGAACGAGGGTGGCGACAGCATTTTTCGAACCTCAATCGTCAATGTCTTCGCCAAAAGACAGCGAGCTGACCAAGAAGCCAGGGGCCCTCTTGAAAAGCTCAACGTCCGAGCTACCGTTGTTATAAAGGTATTCAAGTCAGGACTATAGCGTTTTTTTGTGCGTAACGGTGTCCTTCTAAAAAAAAACTTCTCGACGCATCAGGCCAACTATATCTCACCGTAGCAACTTCAATGTTACGTTCATAAGTTCTGAATGTTTTGCATGGCTATTCAATGGCTGGACCCTTTTGTTTCTTTGAGTTTCCCGTACGCTTGCCACGATACACCAGACGTACTACTGGCCGCTCTTTGACTGCTACGTAAAAACCTGCCGAGATTTTCAGCGACAGAAGACACGGCTAACTAAGCCAGCCGGGCTACTGAGCCCTATACAGCCACCTCGCTGGCTGTTCCAGGAAGGTGGCATGAACCTACCAGGGCCGTTTCCGGCGCCGAATTCGGAAAGAAATCTATCATTGTAGCTACAGGCTTCCTCCCCCGCAACGCTGAGACAAGGGCGCTGCCTGAAGGTAGTGCCACCGAGAACATGGTTCTGCGTCGCGGCGCCCCGGAAGGGTTCATTACCCGCAGAGTTGTGACCTTTACTCTGGACATAAATCAGGTCATTTTGTTCCTCAGGACATTTTGTTACTCAGGACATAACTCAGGTCGCAGAAGACGGGTAAAGCACAAGTATAGCAAAGAATGCTTATTGATAGCATAAAATTGGGCTTTTAAAGCCAGGAGGAGAGACAGGAAAGTGAGCACTGCTTGTGCCCACGTTCGACTGCCTGTGTCTCGTTAAGCTGCAATGCAGCCAGATACGTTCCGTTGCTACCATAAGGCTGAAAAATGGGATCCTTGATGTATTTACGACGGCACGTTCCAACTATTACAAGTTTATCGATGGCTGACGCTGTGTGCGCCGATTCAGTGTACACCGTGCCCTGTTTGTTGTAATCTCAGTATATCTTTCGCGGCTACACGTTCGGCCAAAATAGTAGTTTCATCTTGGATACGTCGGTTGCTGCGTGGGGTCAACGTCCCGAACGTTTCTAAATGCATAACAACAAAATTGTTCATTTTGACACTTTTCGCCTCACCACTGCTAGGCTTTCATGAGGAATAATCACGATAATGGCTAGACTCTGGCAGAATTGTAATGAGCACTTCCGTTATCACGGTTATATATATATATATATATATATATATATATATATATATATATATATATATATATATATATATATATATATATATATATTGCACGCTATATTCTGACCGATGTTTCGGCTCCAGCCGAAACATCGGTCAGAATTTATCGTGCTAAACCAACGTGCATCGTACTCTATTTTCTCTTATTCTACCGGGGCCAGCGATACTTCCTTGCTGCAACTATATAGGTATATATATATATATATATATATATATATATATATATATATATATATATATATATATATATATATATATATATATATATAGGTAGAGAGAGAGAAATCAAATTAAGACAAGCGCTAAGTTGCGTCCCTTCTCTATTTCTTTTTATGTATATATAGGCCGCCGCCGCTTAAACCCAGGCCGCCGTTTAAATGGCCTGGGTTTGGTAATGTCACAAGCCGACGAGCGCAGCACGTCAGCTTCGTACCACTCCCACCACCAAGAAACCCTTCTCACCTGGTCACCAGCCCTCAAAAGGATTTTCCGCTGTTCGCAGGGCTTCTGGGTGAGGACGTTGAAGACTGGCTCGAGGAGTATAACCATGTGAGTGCCATCAACAACCAGTATGAGCCTGTGGAACTCAACCACGTTGCACTCTACTTGAGCGGCATCACAAAAACGTGGTTTTTCAGCCACGCTACAGATATTCCGACATGGCCCGCCTTTACACGTCAGCTCCGCCAGATTTTCGCCAACCCGTCAGTGCGCTCAGATATCGCCAATAAGAGGCTTGGTGCACGTGTTCAACGCCCCAGCGGGTTTTACACTTTTTACATCGAATATGTTCTCACCCTTTGCCGCCGCATCGACAGCTATATGGAGGAAAACGACCATGTGCGCCACCTGCTAAAAGGAATTGCGACTGTCGCTTTTATTGCGCTTGTGGTGCAGAATCCCCAGACCATAGCCAATGTTGTCACTACCTGTCAGCGCCTTGAGGTGCTTCAGACCACTCGGGTGCAACCTGACAAGTCTGATCTGAGCTCGAGTCATGACACAACAGAACTACGTGCATTGATCCGCTCCATCATCCGCGAGGAAGTTGATGCACAGGATTCACCTCGCCACCTTGATATTCGCACGACGCCACCTGCTACTAGTTTGCGCGACGTCGTGAGGGAGGAAGTGGCCTTGATCACTGGCACACCAGTTTCGAGCTCACATCCCGTGCCCATACCAAGTTATGCTCACGTTGCTGCAACGACACCTGCGCCCCACCAAAGCCTGGCCTCGATTACTGTCACACCTGTTCCAAGCCCATATCCTGTGGCCTTGCCAACCTATGCTCAGGTTGCTTCTAGGCCATCTGCACCCCAGGAAAGACCAATGCAGCAACCAGCACCTGAAGTGCATGGTTCACTCAACTCACTTGCCCCGCGACCATCTTCCCAGCCTTACAACGTCTGACGCGCTACGCAGCCGACTTGCTTCTATTGTGGCATCCGTTGTCATATTTTGAGGTTTTGCCGACACTGTCAGCAAGACAAAAGGCGAAGGTACGATGACTCTGAACGGGATGACTTGTACTGCACTGGACCACCCTTTCGGCGAGTGTACCGGAACAGCACACGTTGGTCACCCTCTCCGCAGAACTTTGGCTCAGTTGGCACTTCCCGTTCCTCACGTCGTCGCTCACCTTCACCGATGCGGCGCTCCTCTTCTCCCCTCCGACCTTCTACTTCAATTCCCGACCGCCAACTGGAAAACTAAACAGTACAGCTTTTGGAGGGAAAGCTGCATCTTTCAAACTGCGTCAAACTCATCCGGACCGCCCATCAAATCTTTCATTGGTGTATGTTAACTGTCTACAGACCGAGGCACTGGCTGACACAGGCGCATCACTTTCCGTAATTCGTTCAGACTTTTGTGCCCGCTTGAAAAAAGCTAGGACGCCATACGATGGCCCTCCCTTTCGTTGCGCTGATGGGGTCCCTATTCAGTCTTCAAGTGTTCAGCCTTCAAGTGATACGCGGAGACCGCTTCTCTACGCACTTGCTCTGCCTCAGACGTTGCCGCCTTCTTTTTAGAAGCCATTGTGTTGCGTCATGGTGCACCTCGCACATTGTTGAACGACCGAAGCAAGGCCTTCCTCTTCACAATTCTCGACGAAATTCTAAAAACTTGTGGCACAGTTCTAAGACCACAACAGCTTACCACCCGCAGAGAAATGGCCTGACAGTGTGATTCCACCGGACACTAATCAACCAGATATCCATGTTCATCGGACCGAACCAGGATAACTCGGACAAATCTTGCCGTTCGTAACGTTTGAACACAATACCACTGTTCAACGAACCACCGGGTATTCACCTTTCTTCCTCGCCTTTTGTCGTGCACCGACATTCACCATTGACGCCTTTTTCTTCAATGTAACGACAAAAACATCCATGACTACGTCAGAACATTTCATCTCCAGGCTCGCTGACACACGGCAACGTGCTCAACTCAACACGGAGGCCAGTCAACAAGACAGCAAGCAACACTATGACAGCTTTCGTCGAGACGTCACCTTCCGTCCTGGAGATGAAGTACTACTTTGGATGCCTGTTCAAACACCCGGATTGTGTGAAAAGTTTCAGTCACGCTTTCTCGGACCTTACGTTGTTTGTGAACGAACATCTCTAGTCAATTACCCTGTCACTTCCGTTGAGGGTTCCTCGTACCATCATTACTGTGCCTCCAAGATAGTCCACGTTTCACGTCTGAGACCCTTTGTTCGCCGTAAATTTCCCGCTTAAATCTCGGCCGGGCTAGCCGCTCAAGTGCGCGGGGAAAATAACTGTGAGCATTATTTATGCGTCCCATTTTTTAATCTCCACATACTCATCTTCACCACTGCTGTTTGGGTTGTGGCACATACTTGAGACAATAAAGGAGAGTCTTGAAGGTATTGTACGCCATCTTACATTATATATATATATATATATATATATATATATATATATACATATATATATATGCACACAATAATAACCACAATGAGAATTAGCTGTAGGCAAAACAAACAGCGCAGAAACCATATGAGTGACTTTGTGATCACCGTCACCTTGACTTTGCTGTCGCGTGCTTCCCTCTGAGCAATAGCCCCGTTTTCAATGTGTATGAAAGGCTTTATCAATATACATCAACACATATTACATTGATTGATTGATATGTTGGGTTTAAAATCCCAAAACCACCATAAGATTGTGAGAGACGCCGTAGTGGAGGGCTCCGGAAATTTCGACCTACTGGTGTTCTATACCGTGCGCCCAAATCTGAGCACACGGGCCTACAACATTTCCGCCTCTACCGGAAACGCAGCCGCCGCAGCCGGGATCCGATCCCACGACCGGCGAGTCAGCCGAGTACCTTAGCCACTAGACCACCACGGTGGGGCAAGACGTGTCACATTGATATTGTGAACTGAAATAGGAAGAAATTAGTAAAGAGTCTTCGCATGGTCTTTCTACAAGGAAGCAATAACACTTCAAAGGTTCTCAAAATTTACTAGTAACAATAACAACGAGACTGATTGTGGCCAACCTGCCTGTATTATGTCATTGAGGAGTGCCATTCAAATGTGAGTCCACAATTTCTTTTTTAATGCAGCGGCGAACAGCCACAGCCTGACGTCAGGTTCATCCAACCAAGACGAGCTGCTGCGGGCGTACGAGTACGCCCGGCGGCACCCGCCAAGTTCCTCTCAACAGGCTTCGACCAGCGGTGCTCTGACGCACTACGATGCTCCCGACGACAGCCATACTACGGGTTCTGAAGGCAGCACTGATCCGGGCATTAGGCAATTCACAGAGTCTCCGCCTGAACCCAATGAAAGGCGACAGGCTGCTTGCATCACGCCAGGATCTCGAGGTACGCGTACAGGCGGATTCGCTTCTCAACTGCAGCGTAGGATGTTCATCAAATGTTTCATACTGACTAGAAGGTTGATACTGAACTTTTGGCACTTTTCTTCGCGCTCTTCCTTGTCTTCGTATACATATTTTCTTTCGACTGACCGTTCAAGACCATCAAAAGAATTAGGCATAACTGTTTAGAGCACATCAGTCACCTTAGCTCAAGCAGCCAAAGTATCTCATTTATCTCTTACATGCGTGACATTCCGCCCTTTCCTTGGTGGTGTACACAGGCTTTCGCACGCAACTGATAGATATGTGGGGTTCGACGTCCCTAAACCACCATATGATTATGAGAGACGCCGTGGTGGAGACTCCGAAAATTTCGGCCACCTGGTGTTCTTTATCGTGCACACAAATCTGAGCACACGGGCTTGCAGCAATTCCGCCTCCATCAAAAATTCAGCCGCCACAGTAGGAATTTGATTCCGCAATCTTCCGATGAGCAGCCGAGTACCTCCGCCTTTAGACCACCGCAGTGGGGCTTCGCACTCAACTTTGTAGTGAAAAGTTGTGGGACAAATTCCGGACAGCGGCAGCCACATTTTGAAGAAAGCGAAATGGTAGAGAACCGTGTTTTCGAATCAGGCGTCCGTTAAAGGTCCACTCGGCACATTTGACAATTTGGAGGTGTCAAACGCAATGCGTAGTTGGGGCGTTCATGACCACGTCTTACAAAATATGAAACGCTACGCGCCGCGGAAATGGGTCGAATTTCATGATGAACGCTGCTCCCCCTTTTGCGGGGCGCACGCCAAGATAATGAGGACGTGACGTACACGCAAGAATTTCTCTATGCGCGCAGCAGTGCTGCGACGTTGGTTTTCAACATAGACTTCTGTGCTCTGATGTCGCCATTAGTAGCTCATGACAAGCTGAACATTATTTACATGACATGTGTAGTTTATGTAAGTTCTTGCTTCAGTAGATGAATAAAACTTGAGATGAAAAAATGCCAGATCCCACGTACAATGCGAACTCATGATATGCGAAGCACGAATGAGAAAGGTGGATATGACACTTCAAAATCAGTACAACGTTACCAGGCGGAGGTAAATTATGCCGTACATGCATGGACGTGTCATATACCTTCGTCGTTTGTTCAAGCCGCGCGATACAAAACACGGCTGCCAACACGCTATGAGCGTAGCATGTAGCTATTTTTTGCATGATGCTGATGTCATAAATGATTATCATGTTTGTACGTGTCATCTACTTTCGTCGTCCTTTCGCGTAACGTAATGTGAAACTCGGTATATGCTAAGCTAGTGAATCGGCCGCGAGTGCATCATGAGCGAAGACATGCAGACATGTTGTTACATGACACGCATGTTTTGCTGCGTCAGGCTAAGGTACTCGGCAGCTGACCCGGAAGCCGCGGGATCAAATCCCGCCTGCGGCGGCTGCATGTTTGATTGAGGCGAAAATGATGTAGGCAACTGTGATCAGATTTGGGTGTACGTTGAAGAACCCCAGGTAATCAAAATTTACAAAGCCCTCCACTGCGGTGTCTCTCATAATCATATGGTGGTTTTGGTACGTTAAACCCCACATGTCAATTACATGATACACATCTCATGATTATCATGTTTGCACCAGTCGCAAGTACCACCAAATTTGGTATGTGTGAAGCCAGCGAAAAGACCGCAAGCGCTCCATAAGCGTGGCGTGTGTTCATGACTTACATGACATGCATGTCCTAATTGCCACGTTGGAGTCCGTCAATTATGTTCGCGTTGCAGTCATGTCATGTCATACCAGCTTTGCATTATGTCATGACGAACGAAACTTCCGATAGAGCAGCAAAACCATGACATGTTACGTTATACAATTTCGGTATCGATTCCGTTTTATGAAACGGACAGGAGCGCTAAAAGTCGTAGGTGGCTAGATAGATAGATAGATAGATAGATAGATAGATAGATAGATAGATAGATAGATAGATAGATAGATAGATAGATAGATAGATAGATAGATAGATAGATAGATAGATAGATAGATAGATAGATAGATAGATAGATAGATACGCTCAAAGTACCCACAGTTCGCTAAGAAATGCTTCGTGTTTAATAACAAGATGCAATAAGAGAATGTCCACGTCTTTTTCCTTCTTCCTCTTGAGGGTCCCACTGCAGTCGCTTGACTTTGGGACCCTCGTCTGCATACTACATTCTACAAATTTTGTATTTTGAATGAATGAATAAACTGAACTGAACTGAACTGAACTCTAACGATATGCGGGGCTAATGTGCCAGCGTTTCGCATGTGTTCGTGTCCTCGTGGTTAGCTCAGAAAGCAGACGCCTGTCCGGGCAAAGAAAGTAATGGTCCTGCACAATTGAGCATTCAATGTGCTAATTTATTCTATCTCGTCTAAGCAAGCGTTTCCAAACCATCACGCAGAAACAGGCATTTAACCACAATATAACGCTGGTCAATAAAACAACACAATTCACGTGCTCGGGCGTTGGGTTTGTTCGGCCGTGTGATGCGCACGTGACCTCTTGGTCAGATGCTGGAGAGAGTAGGGAAGAGATTTAGCTTGCGAAGGCTACGCGGAATGAGCGGCAAAGGTTTGGGGTTTGGCTCTGCGCATCTTCCTTTTGCACTACTTCAAAAGAAAAGAGAAAGTCTTCTTATTTCGTAAAGAACAGAATTTCAAACATTGTGGAATAATCCTTTTCATCCAACACAACAAACTCTTAGGTCTGAATGAACTTTGTGAGGGGGTATGGTGAGTGGCATTTTAAGGAACCCAAAGTGGACATTTCGAAACCCTCCAATACAGCTCCCCTATATCCAGGGCCACACCCAGAAATTTTTCCGGATATTTATGTGCAGAGCAGCTAATTTTGACAGCAGGTGGTGAATGAGAAAATTCGTAAATACTTTAGTATCACTCGAAGGACTGAAGCATGAAAGAATATTTAGGGGCTGTCAGAAGCCCCTGGAATTCCCCTTGCTTACGGCCCTATCATAAACACGTGCTTTGGGGGTACCAAACACCAACAGTTCTTACCATGTCGGAAATGACAAAGACTACAATAGGATGCCAGTGGCTTCCATACGGGAGTTTTCAATGACAAGCATTCTTTCGCGTACTGCGAGCACTTTTGGCATCTATCTATCTATCTATCTATCTATCTATCTATCTATCTATCTATCTATCTATCTATCTATCTATCTATCTATCTATCTATCTATCTATTTTTGATGTACACACCTACTACGACAAACTTCCCTTAAGGCAGTGGCTGTTCGAGCAGTTCTTTTGGACAAACTTGTCACCATCCGCTTTCAGTACATTTCTCTGCAGTACCGTCTTTAAAAGCTTTATTTCTATTCCTAATAAATTAACTGCCATGCTTTACCCGGTCTTTCGGGACTTGAATGTTTACAGTGTTCTATGGGGTGATTTTCAGTGCGGCGCATGAGGCTCCTAATCGAACAGATCTTGTTGTTTTTTGGAGCGTGTCTGCAGAATCGGAAAGAAGCAAGGTACTATTTCTTCCTGGACCAACCATACTCTGCAATACACTTTAGCATTGCAACTCCAACTCTTATTCCCCTGATTAGTTGAAAAGTTATTGCAAATCCTTAGGAAATTGACCACTTTTCTATAGTTCTGTGCGTGTCAAAAGGAAATGAATATCCCCTACAGGTTTCTAAGCAGATGGAGAAAGTGGATGGACAATAATTTAGAAAATATGCACTTTCAAATTTGATGGACATGTGTGCCTTAAGCTTACATGCCGCTGTCCACTACTTCACATTATTTCTGATTGATGCTGCTACAAAGTAAATCCCACAAACAGAACTGCCCGCCAAGCATCGTGTCCCTTGGTGCAACAGTGATTGTCGAAATGTTGAAAAAAAACCACAACAATGCATGGAGGTTGCTTTGAAGCTCACTGATAGCCAAGAACCTTGACAATTTTAGCAACACACGATCTTAAGGAACGGGCATAGGGGCAAGAAGTGAGTTCTGGCATAAAATTTTATCCAGAATCACTTCGTATACACACAAGAGGTGGAAGTCTGGAACGTCTATGTCATTCTCTTCCTCTATTAAACGCACAAGGCCACAGCTTGGAAGACCAGGCGTATTATTTCAGCGCACACATTGAACAGGCCTCCAGATTGTCGCAGTATACTACATCGTACTAACGATACAAAACAATCATCGAAAAACAGAAATTAGAACACAAATCCACAAAACACGAAGCATACAATCGTCGTAGCTGAGCTATAAAGGTGTCGCTAAACAGCTGCGATTATTCACCTTCTGGTTGGGACCATGTAGTGTATGAAATGTTACAACACGCGCCCCCTGACACACAAAATGCCCTTCTTCTCTGTTTAATGCTACTTGCTTTTCTGACGAGATTCCATCAGCCCGCAAAGTTGCAATTGTTATTCCGCTTCGAAAGCAAAGCAAGGATTCATGCTCCGTTACCAGCCAAGACCGATCGCACTAACAAGTTGCCTGTGCAAACTTTACGAAAATATGATTGACCACCAGCATTTACACTTCCCGGAACCAGACAACCTACTGGACTCATGCCAGTGAGAATTTCGCGAGGGTAAATCTACCAGTGACTCATCTGCTACGCATCAAAGCATAAATTCGTGGGGCTTTCGTTCATATTTCATTCTTTCTTTCACTGTTTATCTATATAGAAAAGGCTTACGACGCAACGCACCTGCCGCTTTGGTATAATGCGAGGCCTGCAACACATATATGCCTGAGGCAACATGCTGACCACATTAGAGATATACTTGTCCAATAGCCCTTTCTGTATTCGGGGGCGGGATATCTTAACTTGGACATTTGTCCAGATGACTGGAGTTCTGCAATGTGGTGTCCTCAGTTGGACACTTTTAATCATAAAAAGTAGCAGCTTGCATTTCTACATTCCATGCCTTATGTTTTGTTAAACGTATGTTGATGATCTCC